TGTGTTCTTGGGACACTTTAGGCTCCATTATCCCAATAGCACAATCCTTTACAGCTGTCAGGTATCTGAACATCGTTGAGGACCAAGTGCACCTATTCATGGCAACTGTGTTCCCTGCCAGTGATGGCCATTACCAGAAGGATAATGCACCATGCCACACTGCCAGAATCATCAAGGAGTGGTTCAAGGGACATGATGGTGATTTTCTGTTAATGCCTTGGCCTCCAAATTCACCCAGTCAAACATTTGTGGTTCAAATTGGAAAAGCGGGTTCGCGCTACATCACCAACACTCCGCAATGTACAGGAACTGGAGAACCTGCTGTTGACATTAGGGTACTAAATACCCTTGGAGACCTATCGCCACCTTGTCGAATTAATACCTTGTCATGTGGCCACTGTTTTGTTGGCTAAAGGAGGTCCTGCAAGTTATTAGATAGGTGGTCATAATGTAATGGCTCATCGGTGTGTGTGTGTGTGTGTGTATACATATATATATATATATATATCTATGTAGATATATTTTTTTTTTTCATAAGCCCAGACAAAATAAAACTAATTCTTAATCACAATATAAGGAGTAGGCTGTTATGCAGCTTACTTACTCCTCTTCGTCCCTAGTTGGACATAAGGCAACAATGATTTATTTCCACTTGGCTTGATTGTTTGCAGCCTACTGTGCCTTAGACCTTTAGTTCTGTCATAACTGTATGTCTCCATGTTGCTTTTAGTTGCCCTTGTTTTCTTCTGCCAGGTGATGACCATCTCAGGGCAGTCTTTGAAATTCAGTCCTGGTCCATTCTGAGGACCCGATGTTGCTTGATCTCAATGACCGCTATGGCTCTTTGTTCTCTTGTACAGTTTTTCATAGGTGATCTTCATAGGCCAGAATATATGACATATATTGTGGAAGGTGCTGATCTTGTTCAGGTCACTCTTAGTAACTCACCAGCATTCTGAGCCGTACAGCTGGACTGGTTTGACAAAGCTGTAGTACAGACGTGGCTTTGTTGTGGTGCTGTATTGCCTAGATTTCCAGACTGTGTTTAGTGTGACGAAAGCCTCTCTAGCTTTTTTGAGCCTTACTTGTATGTCTTTTTGTGCTGCATTATCCTTGCTAACGAGGCTTCCTAGGTATGTGAAATTGTTGACACATTCCAATGATTTGTTATTGACCTTTGGTCTTGTATGGGTTGTTGTTCAGGCCCACCTGCATGGGCAAAGCTATTCAGTCTGTCAGTCTTTTCTTGGAGATGTTTGAATTTTGTAGAGACCTACAGCAAGGTCATCTGCAAAGTCAAGGTCTTCAAGCTGTGAGAAGGGGGTGCTTGTGGGTTTGTCTGCTGATTTCTGCATTATCCATTCGATGGCGACCAGGAAGAGGATCGGAGAGATGATACAGCCCTGCCACACACCAGACTTCACAGGGAACCATTCTGACAGGTATCCGTCTGCAGTGATGCTGCATTCGATTTTCCTGTGGAACAGCCTCATCAGCATGACCATTTTTGGTGGAACTCCGTAGGATAGCATGATTTTCCATAGGGTGTCACTCAATGCTTTGTTTCGATGATGCTTCTCAGATTAAAGATCTAATCTGTGCACCCTCTTCCACTTCTGAATCCTGCTTGTTCTTAAAAGTTAAAAGTCATTTGTTTGATCAATTCTGTATAGAAAAACTCTACAGAAAACTTTTGATGGAACTAAGCATGTGAGATGCTGCGACAGTTTGCCCTTCTTGGGGAGTTTCACAATGAGGCCTTTATTCCAGTCATCTAGGATAGTCAGTTGTTCCCAGATATTTCTAAAGAGGTCTGTGAGAACCTTGCATGAGGTATCGAGGTTAGCTTATAAGCATTTCAGCATGGATGGAATCAATACCATTTTTCATGGTTTTGATGGAGAGCCTAACCTCTGCCTCAGTTTAGGGACCAGTATCGATATCAATAATGTCACCTGTTGCAGGGGGATTACCAGTGTCATCTGGCTCTGGGTGGTTGAGTGCTTAATTTAAGTATTTTACCCATCTCACAGCTTTTTCTTGGTCGGTAGTGAGGTTGTTGCCATTTTTGTCTTTAACAGGCATGGACTGGTTTGTTATTTTACTAGTAAGTTGTTTGGTGATATTGTACCCAACATTCATCTCACCTCTTGCTGCAGCCCGTCAGCCTCTCCAGCAAGCTTCTCTACAGAGGCCCTCTTGTCTTTTCTGGCACTTTTCTTGACCTGGCTTCCTGGGCCCTTTCAAGAAGTCTTGGTGATTTTAATGGCCAGTATCTTGGCTTTTAATGCTTTACGTTCCTTTTGCCAGGTTTCAGGTGCTATCCACTTTTTGATATTTTTCTTTTTATAGCCCAGGACACTGGTACCTGTCTTGATGGATTCCCATTTGGTGTTAATGCTTGGATCTCTGTCCTCTTCGGTCAGGAAAGCAAACTGGTTTCTTAACTTGGTGGTGAATACTTTGATAACTTTTGAGCATTTCGGCTTATCAATATCTATATGTTGGCTGCTTTCCACAGTTTTAGTTTGATGGAGGCAATGAGTAGGTAGTACAGTAGTCATTATTGACATCGGCACCACGACAACTCTGACATCTTGAAGGGACCTTTGCCACATTATTGATTATGATGTGATTTAACTGGTTGACGGTGATATTGTCAGGTGATTTCCATGTTAGCTTATGAATATCTTTGGGCGGGAACATCACACAATTATTGTCAAGGCAAAAGTCAGCAAGACGCTCACTAATGTCATTCATCACTCCACATCTATGTTGATCCATAGCTCTTTTTCTCTCTGCATTTTCAGCCCCAACCTTTGCATTCATATCTCCCATGGTCAAGAGCATGTCATGTTGAGGGACCTTAGAGACTGTTTGCTGTAGTTTCCCATACCAGTCATTTTGGCCTCTTCCTCTGCATCATTTGTTGGTGCATCACACTGGATGATGGTTGGTATACAGTGTTTGGAGTTGAAGCGTCTAGAGGTTCCCCTTCTAGCAAGGTGTTAACCTTCTCTTTTGTGATTATAAGGGCTAGACAGTTTTCATGTCTGCCATCATGTCCAGCGTAAAGTATAACATAGCCGTTGCTGGTTACTTGCCGTCCGGATCCTGCCCATCGGCATTCACTGACACCTAGGATGTCCAGTCTCTATTTCCTTGTCTCTTTTCTAACTTAAGCTGATTTCGATGTTTCAGACATAGTGCAGACATTCCATGCTCCAACACGGATACTAGTTTTGGACCCTAGTAGACTATCTTTCATACTCCTGACTTCCTGTTGGTGACTTTCATCAGGAGTAGTTATACTGCCAGTTAGTTGGCTCAATCCAATTGGTTGTTCGGACAATCGTTGATGTTTCTGCACCAATATAGATTTTATGGGATGGGGTTGTTAGCCCCATGCCCAACCCTCAGCCTGGAGGAACAGTTGCCTTTGGTCTGGCTTCTACCCTAGGAACTGGCCGGCTTGGTTGAACCTACAAGGGGCTTGGCCCCCACCAGCATAGCTCCCAAGAGTCACTGGCTACGTTTACATGCAACCAAATAATCCATTTGTAATCGGATTGACGGCTCAATCGGACTGAAAAACCTTCATGTAAACACCTTAATCGATCCGATTGAGCTCGATCGGATTGAAATTTCGATCGGATTGAAGGGGGTGGTTTATTCCTTTTCTAATACGATTGAGAGTGCATGTAAACACTCGATCGGATTGAACCCCGAAACTGAAAGAACTGCGCATGTGCAATGACGAAGAAATAGCGTAATGACGTATGACGCGCGGAACGAGCGGTTCTTCCTTTTGAATAAAGTGTTGTATAAATGCGTGTCCTGTCATTATAAAACTCTCCTTTCACTCGGCAACTGTGAAGTGGAGCAGGACAACCTCTCACCAGTCCTTGTTTTGGTTTCTCATCCACAGGCAACCCGTTTTGGGCTTTTTTACTGTGTGATATAAATATGAGCAGCACGGCACAGCGGTTTATTTATATATATTTATCCATAAATTAATAAATATTAATTCT